GATTTTAAAGTTAGACTTACTCATCCACGTTGCATTCCTTGCCATTGAAAGAGCATTTAGTGATAAACTCCGATTTATTGTAGCTAATGGCCCATTTCTCTTCCTCTGTTAGCTGATCTACTGCGAAAATGATGTTCTCTGTAGCTTTTGCTTTCAGCGCGACAGTATCCTTCACTCCCTTAAATGGCTTAAGTTTTTGGTAGGAGTTGAAATGCAGGGTAAGTTATAAGGTTGGATAAGAAATAATTTCTTTTTGACAGAAAACTCATAGAACTCTAGGGGATTGTCTCTCGAGAAAGTCAGGATAGCAGGCAAACGTAATTTAGCAATTTACGAAATTTAAATTAGGAAATTTAGTTAGTCATGACAAAAATTACTCTTTTGACTTTCCGGCGGCGCAAAAAAGTACTTCTTAGCCAAACTCGCAAACCTTGCAATCTGACTCGTTTAGCATCTTAGATTTATTGGAAAGCCTACCAATATGAATTTCAGATGATAGCCATCAAGTATTTAGTATTAGGATAAACGCCCGTACTAGGAGCCACCTATCTAGCCCTAGATCGGCCGCAATTTTCTCGCAGTTTGTGTTCAAATTCATAGGGAATTTCCTCCTGTAGCCAATTAGACGTCAAAAAAGCCTTTTTTCGAGAAAGTATATAAAATCCTTGAAATGTTTAAGAAATGCTATTTTTAACAACTCTAAGCACCGAGGAAGAAAATTATAATCGAAATTTTGAAGAACGACGAAGTTGTCGAAATATCCTAGCCAACCTTGTAGAAGTGACTTACTGTATAACCATAAGCCTTTTCACGATCCACTTTCTTCTTTTATACAGGAGATAATGTTGTGCTTGGCAGAATCTCCCAGAATTTGACAATCCGTTGTGCAGCTGGTTTACTGTAAACAAGAAATTCCAGACAAATTGGTCAGGAAATGTCGGTTTTTTTTTGATTTGGCACCCAATAATTATGCATCTGTTGCGAACTTGGCATTTTTGTGCATTAACAACGAGTCTAGAGTCACAGGATAAAATTGCATCTTCGAGTTTATTTTGATGATGGTGGATCTTTGCAATACACTTTAAAGAGCATTGAAAAGACTTTAGATTAAAAGACACGAAATCATGTGAATACTGAATAGATCGGAGGTAAACCTGAAGTAGATGAACCATAAGGCTATAGTATTATTATATGATTATTATTATATTACAAAGTATTAACCTACAAAGATCAGTAAAATTCCCTTCGGATGGATCAATCCGAACACACATTCGTATCGGTAATGCGCAGAAACAATCGTAGAGAGCCTTGCTGTTAAGCTTATCGTCAAAGTGGCAATCACCAAATGAGTTGCACCTGAATACATTTCTCATTGTCACTCTCTAGCTCTACCTTTCATGAAGTACGATTTCAAAGAGAGCAGTAAGGGAAGAAAAAGGTTAAAAAAAAAGAATTACCGAATTGCGGTTATATGTTTGGACATGACCATGTATGATGAGTCCCTCATAAAATCATTTTTTGAAAGTACAAAAAAAAACTTGTTAAATTTTTTTCTTTGGTTTTGATATCAATTAGCTGCGTCATTCACTCCCGGAGGGCTTCGCGTCACTTTAAAATACTTTAGTGTTCTTTTATTTCTGCTTTTCTCCTGCCCTTAGTAAGCACTAATATTTACGCAACTCCCAAAGGACTTTGGATCGGAAGAGATATTTCGCGGAAAAATCAATGGCAGATGCAAATTTTAATCATTCAAGAAAAATATAGGTGAAAATTATGCTAAAGCGTTGACAATTAAATTTAGCAGTGAATGAGGAATTTTTTTCTAGAGGTTCCGTAGAAAGAGAGTTCTATGATTTTTTTGTGATTTTGAGGAAGCTCAATTTCCTACTATTTCTATAAAAT